CTCTGCGTCAAATAACAGTAATGACGATAACAGAGAGGACGACAACGGTGACATCGATTGAGCATCCACCACGTGCCAGTGGCTGTGCTGAGCACATTACATATGGTCACTCATTAAATATTCAAAGCAACCGTACAGAGGAGGTACTACAATCACTCCCATTTCAAAGATGAGGAAACAGAGGCACACAGATGTTAAGTAATTCACCCAAGGAGACAGAACTGGCAGAGTGGTACAATCTGAGTTTTGAAGTGAAAACTTGGCTGCAGAATCTGTGCTCTTAACCACTAAAAACACGGGCCTTCTAACGTGGTGTCTCCGCACATGATCGTGATGCCAGACCCCGCAGCCCAGCATGGATGCAAGCTTCCTGACACCCAGACGGTGTCAGACAGAACCAGGTTCAAATCCCAACTCTGCCCCTTAAAGGCTGTGTGACCCCGAGCAAGCGTCGTCTCCTGAGCCTCATTCTCTCATCTGTAAAATGGGTTAACAATAGATCCCATTTTATGGGGATGCTGTAAGGCATCCACAAGGGAGTCCATGTACAGTGCTCAGCACAGAGTAGCCAGCATGCGATAATGCCAGCTGTCATTATGATGTTACAGCCTCCCTTGGTACATGACCCGAAAACAAAATGCTTGCTGATGGCCTGGGTATTCTCCATGGAATCATCTCTGCTTCAGAATCGTACCAGTGACCCCCAGGGAAAGGGATAAGGGATAAGCAGGCCGTCCCCAGCCCCCCGTACCTTGGTGAGGTGAGCATTGTACATGTCGGTGAGGAGCCTTCGTCCACGTCCCACGCCGAGCACTGAAAGGCACCCAGCCTGATCTCACACCTGGCTCCCCCTTCCTGTTCCCCTGGGTCCTCCAACCCTCACCCCCTCCAGCAGAATACTCCCACTTCCAAGGCTGTGGAAGCCAACAAGGGGGCAAGAAGAGCCCCTTCTACAGGGAACAAGTGAGCTCCTCTGTGCATATATGAAAATGCAGATTTCCGAGACCCACCCATATATACTGACTCTGACCCGTGTTGGGGCGGGGGCCTAGGGATCCTTAGCAAGCCCCCTGGGATCCTGATGCACTCAGAAGTAAGAGACCACTGGCCCAGTCACACAGACCTACATTCACATCCGGGGTGGCTCTAAGCATGTCCTTTAACCTCCTTGGGTCTCAGGCTCCCCATCAGTAAAATGGGGATAAAAATACTGTCTGATGCCTGTGGGTGTTGTGATGATCGAGGCAATGCACACGAAGGAAGAAGCCGGCAAATAAATGGGGGCATTGTGGCCACTCCCTGCCTTTCCTCCGGTCTGTGTCTCCCTCTGGCTGAAGGAAAGAATGACCATCCATCACTCCTGGAGGGAGTGGGGCATGAGATCACATCTGCCTGCCTACGTCCCAGGAAGCAAGACAAGTTGCTGTGACTGTTGTATATGAAGGACGTGGCCGCCGCCTGACCCTGGGGATACAGATGGCTCATGACTCAGGGCTTTGTGTGTCCAGCTCCAGCGACATCCAGAGCCCAGCCGGTGGGGCCAGGGTCACACACTTGGCTATCCCATGCAAGCGATGACAGTTTTCCCTCTCTGGTCCAGGGACATTCACTAGCCACATGACCCAGGATGAGTTACCTATGCTCCTGGAGCCTTACTTTCTTCCTAAAATCATATGGTATCTACCAAATAAGGTTATTATGGTGAATGCATGTGCACAAAGAGTTTCAAACCATATGTCACAGGCAGGAATCACTTGATAAACGTGGGTGATCACGACTTCCCCCTTCCCACCAGTCACCTCTCCAGGGGATCAGACTTGGCAGGAATCAGGGGAGCAAGCCAGTAGCGGGAAATGGCTGTCAGGTTAGAAATAGGCTCCTGGGAGCTCCCCGATCCTCTCCCAAGACTCTATCACTGCACCCCAGGCTCACCACACCACCTACCAAGCACCCCAGACGCCTGGGCATCCAGTCGGTGCCCCATGCCAATCTTCAGGCTGGTGAATGCTGGTCCACGTACTGGAAAGAAACAAACGAGGTCCTTTTCCTCAAAGAATCCAACCTCCAGGATGGCTCTGGGCTGCATGGTGACCTCATTCCTAGAATGTAGCCTCGTGGAGCCCAAACCAGCATCAGGCTGGACTTTCAGGCTTCCTCACCATGGAATTTGGGGCCCAAAACCACTTCTTCAGTTTCTTGGGCCCAGAGAAAGGGCAACCCAGGAGGCCTGTTAAGTCCGTCCATCACCATTCCCCCCATGAGACACTTTGAGTGGACTGGGCAGAACACTGGAATCAAGACTGGGGGGGTTCCCTATCCAGCTCCTGTAGAAGGAGAGTCCTGGCCACTCTTCCAGGGAGAAAATGGAGGCTGTGAGCTCCTTAAGGCAGGGTCTGGGTCTGTGTGTTCACAGTTCTGCCCCCAGAGCCCAGAACTCACTGACTGCTGGGGAAATAACCCATTTCCCGAAAGAATGAATGACCCATCAGATTAATATACATTAAGTATGTACAGTTTTTTTGTATATCAGCTATACCTCAAGAAAGCTGGAAAAAAAAAAAAAAAGAATGAATGCAGGAATGAGCTAGATGCTTTTACACTTCTTTAGATCAAGAGGAACCTAGGAGACCAGTATGGGGTGGTTAAGAGCCTACTGAATCCAGGCTACATGACTTAACATTAGTCAACACTGAGCATCAGTTTCCTCATTTGTGAAATGGGACTAGGACCCACCTCACAGGATTCAGTGGGGTAGTATTTGGGAGAAGCCTAACACAGTACCCCGTACAGAGTAGGTCCTAACACATCAGACTTGTTATTGTTGTTATACTGTAAACTCACTGATTACTTCTCTCCAAGGGGTTTTAGAGGTTCCTGGTCAAGCTCCTTAGCCCTCCTATAGAGCCTCCCCCAACACATGCTTTAATCATGTCTAATGACAGGGCCTCATTGTCAGAACTAGATTCACTGTTGGGCAGCTTTGCTGACTATAGTAAGTCACTCTTCACAGACATAGAGTACAGACTTGTGGTTGCCAAGGGGGAGGGGGAGTGGGGGAGGGATGGATTGGGAGTTTGGGGTTAGCAGATGCAAGCTATTATATACAGAATGGGTAAACAACAAGGTCCTACTGTATAGCACAGGGAACTGTATTCAATATCCTGTGATAAACCATAATGGAAAAGAATATGAAAAAGAATGTACATATATGTATAACTGAGTCACTTTGCTGTACAGCAAAATTAACACAACACTGTAAATCAGCTACACTTCAATAAAATAAATTAAAAAAAAAATTTCACTCTTTCACAGGAGCCCAAAACTCCCTCCTTATGACTTCTACCTGAGGGTCTCAATTCCTACCTGGAGTCCCAGAATAGAGGTCAACAAACTATAGTCCACAAGTCAAATCCTCAAGCCTGTTTGTTTTTTTTTATGGCCCACAAATTAAAATGGTTTTTACATTTTTCAATGGTTCAAAAAAATCAAGAGGATAATTTTCATGACATATGAAATTATATGAAATTCAAATATCAGCATATCCACCAGTAAAATTTTATTGGAACACAGCCAGGCTCATTGCTCTACATACTGTCTATAGCTGCTGCTTCCGCACTACAGCAGAGGTGAGCCTGCAAAGCCTAAAATATTGACTACCTGGCCCTTTCCAGGAAATTTTGCCAATCCCTGGTCAAATACGTCATCCCCACTGTGGCCCTACACTGGTTTGGGACAGAAGGAGTCTGAGCTCTGGCTAGGACACTGACTCTGGGCAGGGGTTTCCTGGGAAATGACATCCAGGCCCCTTCCTGAATGTGCTTTACCCAGTGGATGGTCGATGAGGGTGGGCACACTGGTGGCTGTGAGGGTCAGCTCCTTCTCTTCACTGCCTTCCACGGGGCCCAGCAGGAAGCGAACACGATGTTTAGAGGCAGGAAGCTTCCCAGCATTGAGACCTGAGTACACACAAGTAAAGAACATCTTGTCGATTCTGTCTGAACACCGGGGGTGGGGGGTAGAGGGACAGGTAAGTATGGAAATGTAGAAGACAGATGAAAGCCCACACAGCGCCTAGCACAGAGTAGGTCCTCAACACATCATACTTGTTATTGTTGTTATACTGTAAACTCACTGACTACTTCTGTCCAAGGGGTTTTAGAGATTTTAGAGTATTCTACTTCTGAAAGCAAAAGTTAAGAAATGAACTTGGGTTTAAATCCTGACTTTACTACTTATTAACTACGTATGACAACGGACAATACTGAGTCTCTTTACCCATCTGAACACAGGGGAAGGCGAGGAGTGTATAGAACAGTCGATTAGGAAACCGCTCTGCCCAGACGACTAGGTCACATGACTTTATTTTGCAGCAAGGATCAGAAGCGGAGATGACCTCCCGGGAAAATGGGAGCGGGATCGTGGGTCTCGCTCGAGGCACTCACCTTTCAAAAGCTGCAGCTCCACGGTATCGCGCAGATGCTTCCACTTTAGCCCCGGGGGCTTGTAGGCGGCGAAGAGCCCATGCAACCGCGCCAGGCCGTCTAACCCCATGCCTGAAGCCCGCGTCCCGGGCTCGCGGAAGAGCTGAACCCGGACGGAGGTGCCTTATGGTCCGCTCCCAAATGTGGTCCTTCCAATGGGCGCCGCCATGTTTCACAGCCGGAAGAGGCTCTCGTCTTATTGTCCTCGGGGAAAACGTGCTTCCGAGAAGGGAGTAGGGTCCGGAGCTGAACCCCCAAAGCTAGCGGAGCTTACTTGGAGACACTTTTTGGGGTTAGGTGAAACGGGGAGAATTTTATATCTGTGGAAGTAGGTTGCCTGGGTTTCCTCATACTTAGAGACCTTCCCTGCCCGTGCTATCTTTCCCGCATAAAAGGCCCTACTCAGCGCAGTAGGGATCGAGTGCTTGTGACTTCTCCTGCGCGTCGTCGCCAGAGAAGCTTGAGGAGTCGGCCTTGCACCGCCCATCCTCCCTGGGAAGTCCTACACTGCCCGCTGCCATGGGGACTCTGCTGCGCGGGGTTCTGCGCCCCCTCCGCGCGTTCCGAAGCCGTCCCTGGCCCGCTGCAGGCAAGTGGTGGGGTCGGGAAGGAGGGCTGGGGACCCGCCACACCGCTGTCCCCCCCACCCCACCCCCGCTCCTTTCACCGCGGCTGTTTTCTTTCCCCGCAGATGTGCCTCTTCGAGCCACGAGCCATGGCACCGGCCTGCTCTACCCCGAACACATCCCCACCTCCCCGCTGCAGAAGGTGCTGCTGGCCGCGGGCTCTGCTGGAATGGCGCTCTATGACCCGTATCGCCACGGTAAAGCAGCCCACGCCGGCGCTTCCTTGGGGCGGCTTGGGGTCTGGGCGCGACCTTGCCTTACCTTGAAAGCCCGGGGAGGTCCCGGACACTGTCAAAGCCTCCCGTTTGCTTTGGGTAACTGGAGACTAGACTGGGCCAGGGTACCCAACCCTGGCTGCACCTCATAATCACCCGCGACATTCATAAAAATGCAGATGCCTGGGTCCCACCCTAAACTTACTCAATTCGAATCTGTCGGGAGTGGGGAGGGGAGGGGAGGGGAGGGAGGAAGGGGCGTGGAATCTGAGCTTCTGCCTTTTTAAACTTAAAAAGTTTAAACTTCCCGGGAGATTCTGGCATCCAGCCACACTGAGAACCTCTGGATTAGATGATTTATGAGGGCCCATCAAATTATAACATCCCATTAGCATTTTAGATAGTGCATGGCACATAATAAATGCTCAATAAATGTTTGCTGGATGTTTTAATAGAACGTTCTGGGATCCTACAGTGTTTTTCTCATCTCCTCCAGGATTCTTAAGTCTGGAAAGTACTGTTACTCCTTCTAGTAAAAACGATAATGCTAACTGCTCACTGAGCCCTTGTTTTGCTTACTCACTGTGCTGTTTTATGAGTGTTGTTATTGATTTTTTGCATTAACCCTATAGGAAAGGTATCACCTGCGCTTCACAAATTAGGACATTGAGGGTTGGAAATGTGAAGCAGCTTGCACACGGTCACCTAGATAGTGATCACACCAGCCCTCTCTGATACCAAAGCCTATACCCATCCGTGGAGACATGGTATTCTGTCGTGATGATGGATGTGGAAGTGATTTATGAACTCTTTAGAGCACTGTGCTAACCAGAGCCATTGCACCCCATTAAACTAACAACCATAGTAGTAACTATAGATATATTGAGCTTTTACTGTGTGCCAGGTGATTCACTAAGTGTTTAACTTGAATCTTCATAACTAAGAGGTAGATATTCTGTTTTACCATGTAGGAAATTAAGGCTCAGATCAGGTCAGGTAACTTACCTAAGATCATATTCTCCATTTGTCCCCATTTCTTTCCTTTCAGACATGGTTGCAGTTCTGGGGGAGACCACAGGATGCCGTACCCTGAAGGTCCTCAGGGACCAGATGAGGAGGGATCCAGAGGGTGCCCAGATCCTGCAGTAGGTCCCTGCTTTGCCTGGGGGATTGAGGGCATTCTTTGGGGATTCTGATCTCTCTGGAATCACGTTGTGTTCCTCTAGAGAGCTCTTCTTGATACCTTGGCCATGGATGGTTGCACAGGCTGGGCACTGCCCAACTCCGTGGGTGCCATTCACATAGACACTGTGATGACCCCTGGGTAGTGCAATATGGTGGCCTCAGCCCAGTTCCAGCAACAGGGCTCTTGTGCCTTCACTAAGGTCCCATAACATATGCTGCCTATAACCCCCACCCCTTCAGTGCCCTTTGTGAATACTCTGATCACATCTTAGGCCTGTTTACCTCAGGCAGGAACCATAGCCTTAGCTTGCGGTAATCTCCTCAGTCCCTGCCACTGGCCTGGCCAGTAGTAAGTGCTGCATTAGGACTTGTGGCCCCATTGCTGCTCTCTTCCCCTTCACCTCTCACACCCTTGATCTAGTTGGACCTTTCACCTGCCTTTGCTGGTGCCCTCCCGATACCTGAGTGCTGCCTTCTGCCTCACAGGGAGCGTCCCCGGATCTCGCTGTCCACCCTTGACCTGGGCAAGCTCCGGAGTCTGCCTGAGGGCTCCCTTGGCCGCGAGTATCTCCGTTTCCTGGATGTGAATGTGAGTTTCCAGCTTCTGTGCATTTGGTAGTCACCAGGAAGGGGAGAGGAATGGCACAGGAGGAATGTCCTGAGGAAGGAGGAGCCTGAGCTGCCAGCATGGGCAGGAGTGCCTTGCAGTCTCTTGCGCCAAGGCTTTGTCATTCTCTATGGGACAGGCAAATGGGCTGGGAACATCGCTGCGAGCAATTATACTGGGCAGCACTTATTAACCTCTTACTGCATGCCAGGTGCCAGGCTCATACATGATCTCACTGAATCCTCCCAACAACCCTGCCAAGTATGTTCTATTATTATCTCCTGTTATTTTTATTTATTTTTTTATAAATTTACTAATTTATATATATTTTTTGGCTGCATTGGGTCTTCGTTGCTGTGCACAGGCTTTCTCTAGTTGCTGCGAGCAAGGGCTGCTGTCCATTGAGGTACATGGGCTTCTCATTGCGGTGGCTTCTATTGTTGCGGAGCATGGGCTCCAGGCGCGCGGGCTTCAGTAGTTGTGGCGCGCGGGCTTCAGTAGTTGTGGTGCATGGGCTTAGTTGCTCTGCGGCATGTGGGATGTTCCCGGACCAGGGCTCGAACCCGTGTCCCCTGCATTGGCAGGCAGATTCTTAACCACTGTGCCACCAGGGAAGTCTCTATCTCCTTTTCATAGATGAGGAAACTGAGGCCCAGAGCAGTTAAACAAAAACAACTTAATGATTTCACAAGCCAGTATTAATGGAGGCAGTATTCAAACCCAGATTATGTTCTTAACTGTTGCATTGTGTCCCCCTGTTCTAGAGACAGTGTCTTCCCTGGGTTTGACAAGTGTGGCACTCTCCAACCCCAGGCAGAGAGGACAGGGACTGGGGGGCAGAGTCCCATCTATCAAGGGACTCATTCATTTGTTCAGAATCAGTCATGTGCCATCCATTGTTCCAAGTGCTGGGGATACAGTGGCAAAGTAGACAGACAATGTCCTGCCCTCATGGAGCTAATATTCTAGTTGGGGATGTAGACTATAAAGCAGTAAAAGAAGAAAATTTTCATATAAAAATTCAGGCAAAATATTTATTTAGTACTGTTCTAGCAGGTGGTGCTGTGTGGACAGCAGTCAACATGATAGAGGACGGGGCGGAGTGGGGGTGGCAGGTGGCCACTTCAGACAGGGTGGTCATGGGAGGCCCTGCTGGGGAGACTTGGAAGATGGGGAGGAGCCGGTTCTGAGGAGAGATGGGAAAGCGCATTCCGAGCAGAGGAACTGGCAAGTGCAAGGCTCTGTGTGGTTAGGAAAAGGAAAACTGTCCAATGTGGCCAGTATGACCTTAGAGGAGTGAGCTGGGGGGAAGCAGGCAATGGGCTGGGAGGTCAGCCTGACCCAGCCACACCCTGCCTGCCATGGGAAGTGTTACCCGAAAACTGTGTTCGCCTCTTGGTGGGTGTTGAGCCAAAAGAAACAATCAAGCCAAAGATGGGGAGAAGGAAGGATTTATTACTTGCAGCAAGTAAGGTGGACACCGGGGAGCTTTCCCAAAGCAGTGTCTGTTAACAGCAAAATTGGGGAAGTTTTAAGCTAAGGGTATATGCGTATTCATCAAGGGGCTTGAGCAGAGGAGAATTCAGCATAGAATTGGGGCAGAGGTCAACGGAGTCCAAGTCTTAGTTGATTGAAGTCAGGAGGGTCAGGAAAGGTCAACATCATCATTTCTTAGGTACTGACTAGTCCGGGATCTTAGCATGTAGTTACCATCCTCTACCTGGGTGTGGGCCTTAGTTCCTATAGAAAAGCTTAAAGATACACATCAGATTGTTATGTATATTCTTTGAGGAGGAACGAGGACATTGTTTTATTGCTGAACTATTGGGTGTTTTTTTTTTCATTTTTATTTTTATTTTATTATTTATTTATTTATTTTTGGCTGCATTGGGTCTTCCTTGCTGCACACGGGCTTCCTCTAGTTGCGGCAGGCGAGCGAGGGCTACTCTTCCTTGCGGTGCACGGGCTTCTTTTCACAGTGGCTTCTCTTGTTGTGGAGCACGGGGCTCTAGGCGCACAGGCTTCAGTAGTTGTGGCACACGGGCTCAGTAGTTGTGGCTCACGGGCTCTAGAGCACAGGCTCAGTAGTTGTGAAGCACAGGCTTAGTTGCACCACGGCATGTGGGATCTTCCCAGACCAGGGCTCGAACCCGTGTCCCCTCCATTGGCAGGCAGATTCTTAACCACTGTACCACCAGGGAAGTCCCTGAGCTATTGTTTCTTGACTGCTTTTCCTCTGTTCCTGCATTCCTTTATTCCTTGAAGATCATTAATTACTGAGACCTGTTGAAGGGCAAGCATTGTGTCTAGGCTTAGGTCACAAAATGGCTTAGGTCAAAATGGCTTCTCTAATGTCAAGAATGCCATGCCTGGTTCTTTTTCTCCAGGGATCCCCTACCCTATCTGCTTAGAGACAGAGTCTGTATTTTGTAATAGAATAGGAAGCCATCGAGGTTTCGAGCAGGGTAGTAACATGATCTGATTTATAGAAGGACCCAAGGATACAGCAGGGCACCTTCCCTGTCCCTTCCCCTCCCTGCCCCAACACAGATACTTCCCATCAAAGCACCTCTGTCAAGTGGCTCCCCAGTCCAGCTGCAGGAGCCAGCCAGGCCAGAGGAGGCGAAGGAGTGAGCAAAGGTTGCTCTAGAACTGCGTTTCTCAGCCTTGGCACTGTTGACTTTGGGGGCTGGATAATTCTTTGTTGTAGGGCTGCCCTGTGCATTGTAGGATGTTTAGCAGCATCCCTGGCCTCTACACACTAGATGCCGGTAGCATTCGCCCTCCCAAGTTGTGACAACCATAAATGTCTTCAGACATTGCAGATGTCCCGTGGTGGACAGTTGAGAACCCCTGCTTTAGGAGATTATTGTCCCTGAGAACATAATCTCTTCCCCATACTCTCCTAACACTTGCCTCTGCCCCATTTTATACCATCACCCGGAGATTTCACCAAGATGCAAGTTTATTTCATCAGTGGGAAACCCACCAGGGTGACCTGCTCCAGGTGCCACCCAGGAATGGAGAATCTTCTGAAGTTCCCCTAGAGCCTTTTGTCCTGTTGTTATGGAGGGTATGGGACTGCCAAGGCCCCCCTGGGTTCGCCTTGCTCAGCCACAGCCTTAGTTGTGGTAACAGCCCTAGAGACTGTGACACTTCTGGAGCCTGGAAACCAGCAGCCCACACACCGTAAAAGAACACCTTTGTCCCAGCAGAGGTTTAGATCAAAGTTCAAGGTGAGGCCACCCTCCCTGAGGCTGACTCGGAGGGGTGGGTGGTTGTCCTTGTGGCATCAAGATTACGGGCATGGGCTCTGGCGTAGCCTGAGTTAGAAGTCTGCCTTTCTTCCCAGCTTTAAAGCCCTGGGCAAATCATTTGACCTCTGAGCCTCAGACTCCTTATCTGAGGTAAGGAAACCTCATGTTTATCTTCCAAGGCACTTATATGGCTGGTTAATAATGGATATTAAGGCGACTGGCTTTGGAATCCAGCAGGCTTTGTTTCGAATCCTGACTCAGCCACTTGATTAGTCAGCTGTGTGATCTTGGGCAAGCTACTTTATATCTCTGAGCCTCATTTTTCTTATCTGTATCTGAGGCTCATAACAGTATCTACGCCCAGGTGGTCTCAGGGATGCAGAATGACAATATGTGTAAAGGACTTCATACAGTGCCGGCACATAGTAGGTACTCAATAAATGTAGGCCGTCACTGACCACCTTCAGCTTCACACAGCAGGTAGAACTCTGTAGAAGAAATTAGGACCTGGGACCCAATGAAGTCACAGACACAGACCATGGCACAGGGCCAGCAGCCCCAAGCAATAAAGGCATCAAATCTCTTGGCCTCTGGACAGGCTGAGGCCATGCTTTGGCACTAGGAAGACCAGGGTGTCCCTACTGTGCATGGGTGCTGCCAAGGACTCAGAGAGGGTGGGTAAAGGAGGACAGTTGCCATCCCTACCTGAGGTCAGAAAAGTGCCTGGGGCTGGCCTTTTACTCCTGCATTTAAGGTATGTTTATTCATCCAGGCCCTGGAGACAGAACAGTGAGCCCCAGTCCTGTGCTGCTGACAGCCTGCTGCAACACTCTTCATAGCAATAGTGTGTAAGCCCCATGGGTAATCTGCTGCTAGCAGATAAATAAAAGCAAATAGAAACAGGTGGAATTAATTTCAATAAGATATTTTGTTTAATCCAGCATACTAAAATGTCATTTCAACATGTAATCAATATTTTAAAATTATTGAGATTTCACATTATTCTCTTCATAGCGTCTTCGAAATCCATGGTGCGCTTTACATGTACAGCACATCTCAGTTGGAACTTGTCACATTTCAAGGCTCAGTGGCTGCCATGATTGGCTGCTGTACTGGACAGTGCAGGTCTAGACAAGAGACGTTAACAATCACACACACTAAACATCACGATACAATCATGTCGAATGCCACAAAAAGGTACGGGTTGCTACGAGAGACCATAAGATAGCTAGGAATTGTCAAGGTGAAGGTGAGGGGGGAGGGAAAGAGCATCCTAGGCTGGGAGCAGCTCATCTGACGAATTTGGGGCTTTGGGTGCTTCTTGTTTTTTTCCCCGCATTTCTAATTGTGGTTTTAAAAAATAATAATAACCTAAGATTTACTGTGTTAACCATCTCTAAATGGGCAGTTTAACAGTGTTAAGTATAGTCACATTGTTGTGAAACCAATCTCCAGAGCTTTTTCATCTTGTAAAACTGAAACTCTATATCATTAAACAAACAACTCCTGCTTCCCCCCACCCCACCCCCAGGGGTTTCTTTGCCAGATTCCAACAGGGTGTGTACATTATGTGTGAGTTGGTGTAGGCAAAGGGGCGCCACTCCACCATATTCCCTGCCTGAGGACTCCCCTGTCAGCAGCTATGCACAGAAACAAAGTCCCCAGAGATTTTTGGTGGGGTTTGAATTTGGTGGGCGTGGCTGAGTCAAGGAGAGGCTGGCAAATTGGACCCTGGGAGCCATCAGGAAGGGGTCTAGGGGAGGTTCATGGTTGTCAGAGAGTCTCCCCAGACACCAGAGCGCCCACCCGATTCGTGGACAGTGAGGAGCTGGCATACGTGATGCAGCGGTACCGGGAGGTGCACGACATGCTCCACACGCTGCTGGGGATGCCCACCAACGTCCTGGGTGAGTGCCAGCCAGCCAGCTGCTGAGTGCATCCGGAGTGGGCGTGGGGCATGGGTGGGGCAGGGCGCTCCGGCCAGCCTGTCTCCCAAGTCTGTCTACAGGGCCAGGGCAGGGCACACCTGTATCAGCCACCCACCAATCAGCTGGCCCAGTGCCTTATTTTTTGCTTTACCCAAACATCTTGGTGCACCTGTGCCACGCATCCCCTATCCTCCATCCCCACTGCCTCTTACGGCTCCTACACTGATGTAGCAGCATCCAAACACCAGGGCTCCCTGCCCTGTTCCGGGTGTTAGCTCCCTGCGCTCTGAAGCCCTCAGCAATCCCCTAAGGCTTGGAGTCCTCAGCCTGGCTTTCGGAGTCCTCTGCATTCTGACCCCAAGCTTCCTTTCCAGCCCTTATTTCCTTCTGCTCTTTCTTGCACCCTCTCCCCAACCCCAAGCCAAGTGCCCCAGGGCCCAGCACAGGCTGGGACTGGGCACTGCTGACCCCTAGTAGTGATTTGGAGCGGAGCAGACGCCTCACTGTGTCCTGCCCTGAGCGGCAGCATCACTGGCCTCTCCTCCTGGCCCCTGCTCACCTCCCACCCCATCCCCACCCTGCCTGCCAGGGGAGATCGTGGTGAAATGGTTTGAGGCTGTCCAGACCGGCCTGCCCATGTGCATCCTGAGTGCACTCTTCGGACCCATCCAGCTCAGTGCCCGGTAAGTTCTCAAGTGGTGAGGGGTCAGGGGAAGGCTCAGGGCTCCAGGAAATAGAGAAGAGCCCACAGCCTTTCTGAGCAGCCCCAGTGGTTCTCAGGAATCCAGGATGGGAAGAATGGGGCAGAGTGAAACTGACCTGGCACAGGGGCTCCAGGGCTATGAATGAAGCCTGGACGTGTCATAGGACTCTAGGGTCTTTTGGGCCAGGCCTCAGTATCGGGTGAGAACAGTAGAGTCAGGGAACTGGGGGGGCCAGGGGGATGCAATCTGGCATTAGTTTCTGGAGTGAGGTAGCCATCGATTTAAATCTGGGCTTTGGCATGTTCAAAATGTGTGGCTTTGGGCACAGGGCTTTACCTCACTGAGCTTCTGTTTCCTCATCTGAAAAGTGGGGATAGTAACTGCCTCCTTCTTGGGTCTGTGTGAGGATTAACTGAGAAAATGCACATCCACTGCAGGAACGTGGTGTGCCCAGCACTCAGGACCTCGTCTTTTGTCTTCTTTTTCCTCTGCTGCCCCACAGAAGCCTGCAAGCGCTGGTCTCGAAGCTGATCCCATGGGCAGTTCAGAATGCGCGCAGAGCCCCATGTGTCCTCAACCTGTACTACGAGCGGCGCTGGGAGCAGCCCCTGAAGGCTCTACGGCAGGAGCTGAGCATCACAGAGCCCCCCATGCACGTCCAGGGCCTAGCCTAGGCCCTGAGCCCCTGAGCCAGAGGGGCTGGCCTGGCTCCCAGCCCCCCCACCCCTGCTTCCCCTGGGGGTGGAGCACTCCTTTGCCATCACCTTTGTTCCTTTTCTTTGAACACTGACCCTTGGACGTCACTAATCATAATTTATCATAACCACTGCTCAGTGGCTTTGAGGGCCAACTCGGGAGGGAGCAGGCAGTGGTGGAGCTCCTAGGGGAGCCAGGAGCTGCCCAAAGAGAACTGAAACAGGAGGGAAGGGGGCAGGGCACAAGCTTTGAAAGAACAACGAAGCCCGAGGACGTGACATAAACTGATTAAAACCAAATGGGTCCAAGATGGCGGACAAGTCAACTTCCACTAGTCCTTGAGCCTCAGTATAGGCTCACTGCAACACGTCATCAAGCTAAATGACACACCCCCGGGCGCCATGACAGTTCCAAGGATCCATAACGATCAAAAAGTGGGCTGTGGCCCAATTCCTGGAAATCCCTGCCCCTTTCCCCCCCCCAAAAAAGCTGGAACGCTCCTCCCACTCATTAGCCTATGAAATTACCCAGCCCTGTAAAAACTGACAACCCGCATACCCTGGGGCCTTTCTCGCCCGCCTTCTGAGGTGACCCATGCTCTGTCTGTGGAGTGTGTTTCTCTCTAAATAAATCCATCTCTTACCTATCACTTTGTCTCACTGAATACTTTCTGCAATGAAACATCAAGAACCTGAGCTTCATTAAGTCCTGAAACCAGGTGTGTGATCTCAGTTGGAAGACTGTGGGTTTTGGCCAGGTTCGAGTCCTGGCATGTGGGTTCAAGTTCCAATCTGAGGTGCACAGTTTCAGAAACACGTGTGCGTAGGAATCAGTTGTCTAGGCTCATGCCCGGATGGCTCAGGTCCACAACCCCTGTTCCCGACCCCTCCCTGCCAGCCAGCGTTCTCTGGGTGCCAGGCTGGGGGTCTTTGCAGGAGGGAGGGCTGTACCCAACTCCCAAGGTCTGAGAAGAGGGAGGCAGGGGGAGAGGCGAGTCTCTGCTGTCTGAATAAAGGCTCCCATCAGGTCAGGAGTCTGCTTCTCCTGCCTTTGCCCGGTGCTGCCCATGACTCTGGCAGCCTTGGGCCTTCAAGCACTGAGGGCAGACGTTCCCTCCAGCCTGAGCTTCCGCTGCTTGTCCCTTGTCTGGTCTGAGGTCGGGCAGACTAGGATTCAAATTCCCCACTCCTCCTCCGCTTTCTAGTAGAGGGACTTAGGGCAAGTCCCTTCACCTCTCTAGACCTGTTTAATCATAAGTAAAAGGGGGATGAAACAGCACCCACCTCCTAGGGTTGCTGTGGGGGTGTGTGAGGTGATGTCCAAAGAAAGGGCCCAAGCAGGAGCTGTTTTATGGTTTTGTTTTTTTTTGGCTGTGTTGGGTCTTCGTTGCTGCACGCGGGCTTTCTCTAGCTGCGGTGAGCAGGGGATACTCTGTTGCGGTACGCGGGCTTGTTATTGTCGTAGCTTCTCTTGTTGCGGAGCATGGGCTCTAGGTGCGCAGGCTTCAGTAGTTGTGGCACGTGGGCTCAGTAGTTGTGGCTCACGGGCTCTAGAGCGCAGGCTCAGTAGTTGTGGCGCACGGGCTTAGTTGCTCCACGGCATGTGGGATCTTCCTGAGCCAGAGCTTGAACCTGTGTCCCCTGCATTGGCAGGTGGATTCTTAACCACTGTGCCACCAGGGAAGCCCTCTTTTTTTTTTTTTAATAAATTTATTTATTTTATTTATTTTTGGCTGCGTTGGGTCTTCGTTGCTGTGCACGGGCTTTCTCTAGTTGCGGCGAGCAGGGGTTACTCTTTGTTGCGGTGCGCGGGCTTCTCACTGCGGTGACTTCTCTTGTTGCACAGCATGGACTCTAGGTGCGCGGGCTTCAGTAGTTGCAGCATGAGGGCTCAGTAGCTGTGGCTTGTGGGCTCTAGAGCGCAGGCTCAGCAGTTGTGGTGCACTGGCTTAGTTGCTCCGCGGCATGTGGGATCTTCCCAGACCAGGGCTCGAACCCATGTCCCCTGCACTGGCAGGCGGATTCTTAACCACTGCGCCACCAGGGAAG